TATTTAGTGCCAGTTTATCAGGAAGTGACGATTTTGTTCTCTTTGACTTGTTGGATGGAAATGGTGCTTATTCGCAAATGTTTTATGCGATATTCCAATTTTGCGCAAAAGTTAAATTCGCAACTTTGGATGGAAACCCAGCTAATGTGTGTGTGTGTGTGTGTGTGTGTGTGTGTGTGTGTGTCATTCATTGTGATTGTTGTGTTTGTGATTTGAATAAACAGACTGCAAAATATTATATTATATTATTATTAAATTATAATGTTTAAAAAATGTATACTATAATTATCATAAATATTTATTATTGCTAAATACTGAATTCTTCTTTTTCTTCTTTTTATTATGTTTTCATTTTGTTATATTATATTATATTATATTATATTATTTATTATTGCTACATTATATTGAATTGCCTTATTATTATTTATTTATTTAATATATTAATATGTTTTATGCTACATCCTACATAATGCTACATATTATTATTATTATTATTACTACTACTGGATTATTTTTTGTCATTTATTGTAATTGTGATCTGAACTGTGATTTGAGAAACATGATGCAAAAATATATATTATGTTATATTATTGTATTATACTATTATATTATATTACATTATATTAATAATATGTTTAAAATTATAGTACTTAAAAAATGCTATTGTACCATATTGTGATTATTTTAAATGATTTTTTATCACTAAATAATATTATTATATTATTATTAGTAGCAGTGGTGGTAGTATTAATTCGTTTAATATTATTTCATATTAATGTTTTAATTTTGTGCTATTATATAATTATTTATTATTGCTACATATTGAATTATTATTATTATTAATCATTTATGTAGCATATTTTTACATATATTTGTAATTCATATTTTTATTATGCAATATAAAAAATTATATTATTTTATTATGCAATAGTAGTCATTTATTATCTTTAACACAGCTTTAATTTTCACTGAAAACCTTTTCGATTTTCTGTGTGTGGTTGATCATTATTGATATGTTTATGTTGAGGTTGCTCACGCAGCTCCTCTGGTGTAACTGAGAGTTTCTCTGTGTTTCTGTGACTCCAGCATGACAGTGACATCTCAGCGTTCACCTACGAGAAGACGCTGGTGATGGAGCAGCGCTCACAGATGCTGAAGCAGATGCAGCTGTCGAGGACGGAGCGCGAGCGAGAGGTGATGCTTCATGACACTCGTTCTGTGTATGAAGGAATATGCAGTGACCATATCTTCATTAATGCATATCTAGCATTAATGCATTAATGATAAACTATCAAGGAATGTCCAAATATTTCCCTCTAAATCAAAAAAAAAAAAGGAAATTATATTTTGTTTAAAGAAGTTGTTTTTTAAATATTAAACTAATGTCAATAGGCAACTGTAATGAAAATTAGATTATTTTCCCTTATTTTCCTTTTTAAATTATGTATATATATAATTTTTATATATATAATTTAAATATATTAAATTAAGCATGTTTGCAAACTACATTCAGTATAAAGCATATATATATATATATATATACTCAAAAAAAGACATATATATATACTGTACATTCATGCACACACACACACACACACATATATATATATATATACAGTGGGTACGGAAAGTATTCAGACCCCCTTCTATTTTTCACTCTTTGTTATATTGCAGCCATTTGCTAAAATCATTTAAGTTCATTTTTTTTCGTCATTAATGTACACACAGCACCCCATATTGACAGAAAAACACAGAATCGTTGACATTTTTGCAGATTTATTAAAAAAGAAAAACTGAAATATCACATGGTCCTAAGTATTCAGACCCTTTGCTGTGACAC